TTAAATTATGAATAAAAGAGTGAAATGGAATAGCAATGACAATTTTTGCAGGTAATTGGCAAAATCGTGCAAATGATCAGCAAGGAAAAGGGTGCGCCTACTCGATTAGAAATTGAGCATAAATGCTTTGTCAATTTTATCTCTTTACTTGCAGTAACAATGGCCACAATTACATTTATTGTTGGCTTATTACTTACAAGTTTTCAACGTATTACCAGTACTCTTGTAAATGGATTCCTTGTCATTATTATCGCTAACATCCCACAAGGTTTACGAATTTGATTACTTTCAATTTATTGCTGTAATTAGACTTTGCATTTTGATTAATCTATTACTAACTGATCTATTTGCTACAATATAAATCAATTGTGATATAGATTTTAAAGACTTTTATTATAATTACGGAATGAAAATTTTTCAGAGATATACAAATCAATCAATAACTTCATAATATTTGTGTCTGTGTTATTTTTTTGATGAGATTTGAAATTATTTTCTTTCATTTCATTATTTATCAATGTACAGTAATTTTGGCTATTTCTGTCAAAACTTTCATTAGCGCTAAAATAAACAATTACAAAGTACTGCTGACAAGTATATTTTTATTAGTCGAATTGAAAGAGTCTTGATTGAAATAATTTTTTAAGCTGTATGTGAATTGGTCCTCTTGAATTTATTGCATAAATTTTTAGGCCTTCCAATTACATTAGGTGCAGCTTTGGTAATCGTTGCTAGACGGTTAGCTAAGCAAAACGTATTTATGAAACGTTTGGATGTTGTGGAGACATTAGGTACAGCGACAGTTGTAATGTGTGATAAAACAGGCGTCTTCACGCTTAACGATATCACTGTATCTGATTTATGGTATCAACTGCAGCATTTCAAAGGTTCTCTTTCTTACAAAAATGCTTGAATTTTGATTATTTTTAAGATCATTTTTGAAATTCACGTCAAGTAATTATTTTATAGATTCATTTCGGACTTTTAAGTGCTAAATAATTTTATCCAAGAGTAATTAATGCGTACTTTACGTTCTAAGCTAAGCAACAATTTCTACTGAAGACATTTTTAGGCATGCTATACAAATGATTCTACCATGCTAATTGTAAAGTTGCAAAGTATGTAAATGGTTTAGGTACGGAAGAGTTGAAAGCTAAGCGGAAGCACGTGTCACCCACTCAGCTGGAAATGCCATTAGCAGAAAGTAATAATAACAGTCTAGTGGCTTTGCTAACAGTCATGTCAGTTTGCAGCAAAGCACATTTGCAACCTATCAATTCACGTGGAAGTGAAGCATGGCAAAGGGTTTACAAATTCTCAGAAATAACCAATACTCTCAGCATGCAATCGTTGCTAGATGGGTAATTAATTAATTATTTATCAATCATTCATGTAATATTCATGTTAACATGCAATGAGAATCAACTTTTGTTCACATGACATGACAAACTATTTATACTGTAAATAAACTGTCTACAAATTTTGTAATTCCTGCATTGATCAGAATAAAATTTGTTTAGTCGTAATATGAACACATGTTTATTGCGCAGTTACAAGAAATATCAACGTGTATAACAAGTAAGCTTTCTTTTTTTTTCTTTTTTTTCTTTCTTTTAGGAAAGTATCGCAAAACAAAATTTATAGTGCAGACGTAGAGCGAACAGTACGGGCAGCTTTCCATCATAAAGTAATCACAGGAAATGAAAACGAGGTTGCACTACTGAAGTATGTCGAAGAAGTAAGGTATCTTATCTGCTTATTAATATTCATGCCATTTTATCACAATATTTAAAATTAAATCACTCTTCCTACTTTCACTTCTAAATGAATAATTTTTACAAGAAACGTTGCAAGTTGAAACAAAGTAAGAATTTCCAAGAAATAATTAAAAAATGAAAGCTAATTTTCATGTTTAAAATGCTGTCATAGCACACTCTTTGAAAATATTAAATGATATGACTAAAAAATTTTTCTATAAATAACTTTTCTAAATACAAATGCAAATTCAAGAAGCAGAATACATTTGCTTTCTTTAATCACATTTTTTCTTTGTTAATAAAATACATGCATTATTTCTTGTAACAATGAAAGGAGTACAGTCAAAGTTAAAATTGTCCCTTGGAGAATCTGAAAATACTTTGCAGATAGCAAATGCAGAAAGCCTTCGGAAGAATTATGAAATTTTGTTCGAGGTACCATTCAATAGACAGCGACGCTTCCAAATGATGGTCGTTCGTCAGAGACCGAAAAATGACGGCTGTGATCTTAACAGTATGAAGTATGTGATATAGTATCATTTTTGGAATTTGATTACTTCTTCTGCATTACAGCTATAACTGCCATCTAGACTGTTATTCATGCTTGAGTAATTGTGACCGTTAGAGTTGGACATCTGGTTTGTAAACAATTTTATTCATATATTCAGTGTAATTTAAATTTGACAGTAGTTGTATGCACAAAAATATATTCAAAGCAATAAGAGCTCTTTTAATGAAAAAATGGTGTCAAAAGTAATTTTGTGTATTGCAAAATTGAATATTCAAAGCATTTACAAATAATACTGATTGTATTCATTTTTACAGCAGTTGAAAAATAGAAAATACCATATATCACACATATTTAAAATGGCAAATTGATGTCATATACTATGTACCATTAAAAGTGAACATTTTATTTTGACTTTTGATGAAAGTAAAGTTGAAAATTTTAGTGAAATAAATTATTCCAGGCAATATGTATTTTTGAAAGGAGCTCCAGAAGAATTATTCATGCATTGTAAGATGCTAGCCACTGAGGAAGGTTATACTGAAATTTCCGATAGTTGCATAGCACAATTTTCTGTGAGTCCATTTTTTTTTTCTTAAAAAATATCGCCATCAGTTGCTCAATCTAAAAAATATATTCATAGCGTGTACTTCATCGCACAAATTAACTATTAGCAACAAAGTTTGGGTTCTAAAAAGCAAAGATCTTCATAAAATTTAACCAAAATTATAGGTTTAATTAGTATTAGCACAGAACTTTCAAGCGCCTTTTCGAATCAAACAGCCAGCCAACGCAAAGTAAAGCATTTATAATAAGCTCACGTAAAGTGAGAAATTAAATACAACAGTCTTGACAATAGCAAAATTTTATTGACTCTCGGAAACAACCAAATATCTTTTGCTAATTTTATCGTAGTAGTTTATAATTGTTTTCTCTTGATCTTTCCTACTTTGATTTGCGTTCCATTACTCTACAGTAATTTTTTTTCCGTTTAAAAAAATCATTTTTGCTTAAATTTGATTTGTTATGCAGAGATATAGCTTTTAAAAAATATATATATATATAACTAAGCATATAAAATCATATCTTTATTCTACTTTACTGGCAATATATTATATAATTTCATTTTGTGAAGTAAATTGGCACTAATTGGTAACTAAAAAAATTTGGGCAATTCAAATATGACATGGAGATTTGCTGTTGTGATGGAATACAATACATCATTACTTCTATCTTATTTCCTTGCGTACAATTTTATTGTACATAAAAATTCTAAGAAGAGATGTCTTATTCATATCTAAACTTATCTTCATTAAAAAAATCATATAAAATGTTAGCGAAAAAATATGTTTGCGTTAAAATACCTGATGTTGAAAGCATTTTCGAGTGATCTTTTTTTGCACACAGTCGCGATTCCAATCTTTTCTTTAGATTTTCCATCACATTTGAGAGTTCCAAGTATTACTCGTTTCTCCGAATCATCAAGCAACTTTTGTCCCACTGAAGAACTAATTTTTTCTACTGGTATTGGTAGCAACTTCGTGATATACTTTATCATCCTCAAGTAACTTCTGGAAAATTTCGGCATTTGAGGAGGCTGTATTGCTTCAGCTGATAGTTCCTGTAATGGTTCCGTTGACGATAATTCATTTGATGCGTCGTTGGTCACTTGTGTTGGTGTTTTCGAACTATTATTTTTTACTAATGTGATAACGGACTTTGAAATCTGTTCTAAAACATAAATTTGTTATTCTTTTTCCTACTGCATTTTTAAAGCATCAGTAAATTAAACAAAAATCACTTATGACTTAAGCCCAGTTAAAAGAGGGAAGACAAAAAATGAAAAATAATAAATATTAAATAAATTCATATCTATAACTATTTCATGTATTTTATTTGTATTCTTATTCATTAACTCATAACATTTCAACTTTTATTGGTTTCACAACTGTCAAGCTATTATTTCTTCTCTTCTAGAACTATACTCACTTCCTGACAAAAATCCATACTGATATGCCTGAATCTTACCAAACACTTCCTCAGCAATGTTCCTGAAAGATTTTTGCATAGGAACTTCAACGTAATCATTGTATATGTAATTAAATAAGTGCTAGCTTTTTCGAAATTTAATTTATTCTGAAGCTTCGTTAAATGATTTTTATGTAGTTGAAGGACGATTAAGTAGGTGCATACCAAAAACCGTATACAAACAAATCAGTAGGCTGAGCATCATATTGGTAGCCTAAACGATATATTTCCATTACGCGTACACCACATTTTTGCTTGCCGTAAATCTACGTAATTAAATAAGTCTCGAAATTACATGCTATCTTGAAGATGTGATTAGAAATTTGGTCAAGTAAGCACTATAATTTTTGCTTCTTAAATCGACTTATCATGCTAACAACCTTACTTAAGAGTATGAAAGTTATAGTTTCTAATTATTGTATTAATATCTAACTGTCTAAAATTTACATTATTTAATTAGTAATAATCTAGTTATAAATATTAATAATAGAGGTAATAAATTAAAATTTTTTGGTCAAAGAAATAAAAATGAAGAATTGGTATTAAATCTGTTTAAAATAATTAATTAATTGTAATAAAATATTCAAGAAACAGCAGTATAATTTAAAAAAAAAATACTTATATCAATTAATAGTAATGAAAATGATTTTTGACGAGTGAAGTGATTTTATTAGTTTTTTTATCATTTCTTCTAACATTTCGGTCACCTTACTTTAATCATTTAAATTTTATTTCCAGTATAACATATTAGAGACAAAAGACGGTTACCATAGCCCAAAGAATGTATAATTCAGCTCTGAACCGAAATTGACCTCGACTATAAAGGGCACGCATAAGTTTTTTAGGTTGACGTCTGCCAATTTCTTCCTAAACTGCATGTGACATATGTACTGTATTTCAGCATTGTAAGCAGTTAAATCCACTTTCTATAGCTGATTTTCTTAAGGAATGAGTAATGAAGTACTTGATAGTAACAGCAACATTTTGGTTACCTTACCTAGTTTGTTATGACATACTTCATAAAGTTAATCTTTCATAATTTTAGAAATCCATTCTAGCAGATAATCTCAAAAGTAAACCTTCTGAATAATACTTCAGTGAATAAATGACATTATATCGGAGGAGAATTTTTTCACCAAATGATTGTATGATTAAAAATAATTTCTCAGTTAAATTAACCTTTAATAGATAAATTTCTAAAATTCTTGGATCATGACGATATTTCATACACGAATATTTTTCGAGTGTTTCTTCAATTACTGCTTGTAGCATTGCTCGAGCCTGACATCCTTCATTCCACAAAAAATTCATATGTCTACAGTAATATGAAATTGGCATTAAATTATTGCGATGATAATGAAATGACCTGCGAAACTTCATTATTTCTTTGTTTGATAATTATATAAGTAATTTAGAACAATATGACAAAATCAAACTGAAACAAATGTCCTGTTAGCTTTCAGCACTTTTCATGAGATCCATACAAATTACAGTTAGACATTTATGCGCAATTAATTTAAATTTCTAAAAATGTAGCAAAGTTATAACATACTGTAAAATATAATCAAGTTTCTTCGGCTCCGGCAATGATCTGCAAAAAAATATCTTTATTGTGCAATAATCAAAAGTTATAAAAACAAATAAAAAATCACTTTTTGTTTACGAATAATCTTCGAATTTCCTTAGCTCTTAGTTTTACAACAACGTCATTATTCGACATATATGCAGATTTAGCTTTCAAAATGTATTATTTTTGACTTATTATTAATATTTAAGGAATAATTAAGAATGATACTCAAGTCTAAAATTCAGAAACAGTGAACTCAGTTTTCAAACAGACATTTAATATTATTGGGATTATTAAATGCTAAAAGCTACAATTATGCAGGATGAATGTTCTGATGCTACCAACACTAACAATAAATAATGAAATCTCTAATGCAAATGGTAATAAAAAGCATATAAATTCAAATTTAAAAACATTTAAATAGAAATAATAACAAAATGTTTATCATAAACTAACTCCACAAATCTTGGCAAATTGTAATGGAAATCACTTGAATAATTCGCTGAATTGTACTCATAAGAACTATACATCGTTGTTGGACTCAAATTTTCCTAATAATAAAAATTTTTTATTATTAGAAAAACAATAACAAATTTGAGCCTTTCAAATGAACTATTCATAGTGAAAGCAGTGAACAATCTTTTTTTTCTATATACTAAAAGTCTTGCGACATCTATCCTCTCAACATAAACATAATATTCAAGTTATTTTTATGCAAATTATTTGATGATCTCATCTCTGATCTTAGATTCCGCCAAAAGTAAGATGATCTCATTAACAGATTTACAATGACAATGCAAATTTAATTACTTAGATAATTGTTTTATAATTGAAACTGATCATAATTATAGCTACGTTTATTGATGTTTTATTTGGGTTATTTTCCATCAGTGTTATTTGTTTACATACAAAGGAACTCAGATTCATTTAAGCATCAATACTGTGTTCAGTTACAATATGCAACAGTGCATGTAACTGAATTTAGTAATCAAATCAATTTTTCTTCATTACTGACTAATTAATATTGGTTTTAGAAGGCTTATTCAAAATATGGCAATGAAGGAAAAAGCTGCATTGCATTTGCGATGGGTGAACTTCGAGAACTTAGGTATATTGATTCCATGGGATCTTGGGATGAATTGAATCGACTGAATCTTTGCTTTCTCGGCATGGCAGTGATGTATGATCCTCCGAGAGATACTGCTTTCAAAGCATTATCCACAATGAGAACAGCAGGTATTCAAACTTTGTTCAAAATTAATATTTATATATAACGCCAGATTCGAGCTCTTCAGAAGATGGTTTTATAGAAACTTAACCGAAGAACAGCCACAATGTAAAGACAGAGAAAATCAAGGATTTTTGGGGAACGATGTGGAACTCCGAGATGGGAAAGATCGTTTTGGGAAGATAGTTTCCTATTTGCCCAATTGGAAGGTGCCAGGGACTGATAGAGTCTATAACTTCTTTATTAAGAAGTGTGCCTCCTTGATTCCGGGCCTGTACAAAGTAGTACAAAGAATTTGCATGGATTGGGAAGAAAAAGATCCTGGTTTCATAAGTGCACTGTCTACCTGATTCCGAAAGGTGCTCTAGGTAATGCCAGTGACTTTAGGCAATAACTTTGTCGAATCTTTACAAGTTGACAACGAAATGTATGGTACGTGTCATGCAGTTGGGTGTTGCCATAAGAAAGCTACTTGCAAATAACAAACTAGGAAGTGTTGTCCAGGTTCATGGTGCGAAGGAACAAGCAATTTGAACCTGGCGGTTTGCAAAGAGCACGGGAATGAGTTCTATACTGCATGGTATGACATCGAGGAAGCGTTTGATTCAGCTAATCATGGATACTTGATTACGTGCATTGACAGGCTTAACTTGCCATCGGGGATCAGCAGGTTTCTGAAAAGCATCCCATTTAGATGGCAGCCGTAATTAAGAAAAATAGAGAAACTGTAATAGAGAAGAAAATAAAACGAGAAATTCTCCAAAATGATAGCCTTTTTCTGATGCTATTTGTTTTGTGAATTGAGCCGTTCGCTTAATATGACAAGTAGCAGTTCCAACCGATCAGGGAATACACATAACAAACCATTTATTGCTTGCGGATGATCTCAAGACCTTTGCGACTGACAACGATATCATGAAATCTATGGCTGAAGAAGTTCAGAGGCTTCTTGATGGTAGATATGAGGTGAATCAAGAAAAGTTAGCCACTACTAACGCCAAGGTATTCGCTCATAAAGCAGCGCTATGGAAGGGACTCAGGGGTACAAATACCTTGAAATAGTAGAAGACAGGACTAGTGCACCTTCCCGTGAAAGCTACGATAAAGACCCAGCAGAGATTTTAGTGACAATTAAGCGATTAGCCAAAACTGCTCTAAATAGCAAGGACTTTATCAAAAAAAGTAAAGATCAGAGTTGATACGCGAATAAGAGTAATTATAAAGATAAGTGCGGATCGACCGGATATCATGATCTACGATTAGAAGCGATGTGAAGTAATGCTGATAAAGGTTGCCATCACTAGTCAAGACAGGTTGAAAGCATTCGAGACAGAAATATGTATATATCGTGGAGATTAGATTCACTGAGTCTTAATGAACTTGCTTAATTCTTTAAAATTCTAATATATAATTCTTGCTTCTGGTAAGCATATATAAATCTTAACTGCATCATTAATATTAATATGGTATTTATCAAGGAGTGAAATGCTTTATGGTTACTGGTGATCATCCATCCACAGCAGCTGCAGTTGCTAGCCATTTTGGTTTGATAGCTTCACGAACATCTATTGTGTCATTGGTTTAGTTTATTTCAATTGAACTTTGACATGTTCGACTTTTTAAAGTTATTTGTTACTTGCTATCAAGAACAGTGTGAATGCACATTTTGAAAATATCAGTGAAAGCATGATAAAAACTGTGTAGTGACTTTATTTTAAAATAATCCATATTTTACTCGAGTAATAACTATTAATTTTCACGAAATCCATTTCAAATCCAAAATTGCTTTTAATTTTCTAGTTGCATCAGATAAAATGATATATGCGCAGTCATATAAAAGCTATGTATTTGAAAAACAAATGATTACAGAATATGGAAGCCGAAAAGGAGCAAAATTTGTTGTCAGTAATTCACTGTGAAACTTTAAGCACATTAAGTGATAAAAAATGGGATGATATACTGAAGCAAAAAGCTGTTGTGTTTGCGCGAGCAACTCCTTCTCACAAATTAATCATCATAAAGGTCAAATTTTTAAATTTTTGTCAGTGATATGGTAGAAGACATTATTTCAAGAAGTTATTTCAAAACTTCTAGATGGTTCTGCATCAAATATTATAGATATGAGCACCTTCTGTATGTCATTTAATCAGTGGTTCTGTTTTCTAACTTTTTTAATAAATGTGAGTTTGACTGGTCAACATGTTTACATATTATATACTGTGTTGAGGCATAATAATATCATGCTCAAATTTTATAACAAACGCATTAAAGAAAAAATGTGTAATAGAAATTTCCGGGCATTTATCAGAAAGATATAAATTCATCTTTGTGCCATATATCAATGATATGAAAATGTGATAAACTCGCTCATTAGTTATGCAAAATTTTTTATTCCATAATGATGGTGTGATTTTTTTATTTGGTTTTACAGGAATGCCGACGGCGTGGTGAAATAGTAGCGGTCACAGGTGATGGCGTTTTGGATGCACCTGCACTGAAAGAAGCCAATGTTGGCATAGCCATGGATGCTGTCGGTAATTGATGCAAATAGTTTTAAATTTGCATATAAAAATGAATAAATCATTCCGAAGATTTCATTAAAAAGTTTTCCAGATACCATCATCCTCTCCTATTCTTGAGTCCCACATCTTGACCCAGAACTTTCTGATTTCGTCTGTCCCTCCATTGTAGCTTACTAACTGTTCCTAGATCAGTTATTCATGGAACCGCCTTCTAAACAGCTCAAGTCTGGCTTTGGATTTTGAATGTTTCTAATTTTAGTTTTACAAATTTTCACACGCTCTGTCAGCGTGCTTAAAGCTTCCTGACAATTACGTTCAAGAGCAAGTATGAGATTCATGCTTCTCATGCACTTCTGCCTCTGTTAGGTTTTTACCTTGAAACGTTTCACCAGCCAAATACGGCTCTATGAGGGTTTTGTGGAAGTTATTCAAACTTATCTCCTTTCCTGTGCTTGCCTTCTGTCTCGATGAGTGTATCATTAAAAGTTTCAATTTGAGGAAAAAAGCACCAAAACTGGAAACGCATTCATTCTGTATCATTTCTGTTTTATGAGTCGCATTAAAATATTGTTGGTTACTGTATCGACAAACCACTGTTGTTTGCATTACTGGAAAAAAAAATGAAAGAAAACTTTATCTGAACATTTTTACTATAGCAATTGCAATAAATTTGGGAATAATTAAGGTGTATAGATAATGACGATCGTTGATTATAAATATGTTTCTTAGTGGATCAAACAGTGGTTAGAAGCTGAAATTTTTTCCGGTAGTGCATTTGCAAAGGAAGCAGCTGATATGGTATATACAGACAGTGATGTGAAACATATTGTTGATGGTATCGAAGAAGGACGGTTACTTTATGCAAATTTGAAAAAAACAATAGCATATACATTAGCTCATATGATGCCAGAATTAAGTGCTGTCATGCTGGCTTTTACTCTCGGATGTCCAATTGGTCTTGGCAGTTTACAAGTCAGTTATTTGTTTTATTTTCATTTTTTGCTTCAGTTAAAAGAAAACTTTGCCGATGAAATCAATCCCAACTTGAATAATCAAGATAGAGAATAAACTGTAGTTGTAGAAATATTCATCGCTAGTACTGATATTGTTGTTTGTAATGTATAAATGAAAAATTGATATTTTGCAATTTCAATATATAAATATTGTAAAAAATTGAGTGTCATCCTTGAAATTTTCTTGTTAATTGACCAGATTCATAATGCCTAGTTTTCGAATTATGTATAATTTAATAAATGTTAATATGCAGCGAGTGAAAATATTTCATAGAATATTCTTTCTAACGATGTCATAGAGTACTGTAAATTTTAGGTTCTTTCTATAGATTTAATAACAGAAATACCACCGTCAATAGCTCTTACTTATGAAGCTGGTGAAAAAGATATCATGTGCAGATCACCTCGAAAAACTACTTCTCGATTAGTTTCAAAAGCACTACTTGTTTATTCATATATTTTTGTGGGAGGTATCATATCAGTTGGATGTTTTATTGCGTATTTATTCGTCTTTTGGTTTGTTTGCATCTGATCCAAAGATAATATCAAAATATTTACGTACAGTACTCTTGCTTTGAAATGTAATTGACTGTAAATAGAGTTTCAATCATGCAAACTTCATTCTTATCGTCCTCATGAATTTTATTCAAAATATGCTGAAATAGTAGCATTACCTAAAAGCATTGCACCATGACAGTCTGTATAAGAAGTTTAATAATTATGCTTGCTAGTAAAAATTCTAAAAAATTCTGTAGAAAGTATTATAATTTTGAAGTATAGTCTTGGAATATGTTGCATTTTCATGCGTAGTTGTTTTAGGGGTTATGATATAACTTTACGAGATTTGCTTCATTCAAATACAATTCATTGGCGTCCAAATGCAAAAGTATTAGTAACCAGTAGTGGAAAACAATATACTGCTGAAATGCAAATATTTATTCATAATCAAGCGAAAGCTGCTTGGCACATTACATTAGTTATGGCTCAGGTTTGAAATTGAAAACGTGGTCAGAATTTCTATGTAATAAAAATTAAATCACTGCAATACTTTTCATTAGGAAATTAGCAGTAATGTTTAATTTAGGTATTTCATTTTTGGTTATGTACAACAAGAAGGATTTCCATTTTCGAACATGGTATACATAATGTTGTCGCTATTTTTGCTGTGCTACTTGAAATTTTTATACTAAATTTTATGATCTATACGCCGGGTATAAATCAGTGGCTTGGTGTTCAACATCCTCCGGCATTCGTTTGGTTCTTTTGCATACCTGTTGGCACAGTATTAATCGTTTTTAACGAAGTAAGCACACCTTTTAATCTGAAAATCACAATTAAATACAAATCCTTGCGATATTAAGATTTTCATGAATAAAATTAATATTATAACATATTTCCACACTTGCAGTACATCCTCAACTCTGTTCACTAATAACTATAAGTATTTAAAAGTGCCATATTCATTTGAAAATTTGTTATTGTAATGTGAACTCATTTTATATTTTTTCACCATATTTTAGACTCGAAAATGGTTTATAAGGCGGCACCCCTTCAATAATATCGTGAGAGCATTCAAATGGTAACCAATTTTAGCAAGCTCATTAACTACAGCCCCTTAACACACTCTACTTCTGTACCATAGCATACCTTGGCTTATTGATTTTAACAATTCTTTTCATTTACTGTAATAATACTGCGATACAATGCTCCTCTTTGTACTGCACTCGTCCGCAAGATATTATTTATCTTACTGTCATTTTTTGATACAATTTGTATTTTGTACAGTCAGTAGTCCTTCAGCGCCCATTATCACAAACGATTGAATGCGTGAATAGAACATAGCAATGTTACTTTATTAAATGCTGAAATAGAAGCTCTTAAATAACTTTAGCTAAATATGTGGATTTCGTTTTCAACATTTTAAACTAACTGAATATTCAATGATTTATTTAGCTTTGTTTCAAATTCTTTGCTGAAGTAATGTAAAATGACATGGATTGACGCATAACACTTATGTAGTGAGAATGTAAATAAAACTAAATGTTGTATAATGATCATAAATCCACCTTAATTGCTTAGATATTCTGGTCAGTAGTTCTATTGCAAGCAATAACGACAGGATTAGCTGTGACGAACAAATGTATATACAGTAAGTATAAATGTATACACAGTAACAAAGAAAAACCCACTCATGAAGTTTGTTATTTGGCTCTCTTTATACCAATAACAATTCACGTATTTTTTTAATATCCTAGCTCCAAGTTCAAGCTAGCTAATTCTCATTTTTTTACCACGTTCGTGACACTCTTGTTAATCTACAAGCTACTCAATGACTTTATCAGAGTATGTGAATTTAGTTTCTTAATACTATATCAAATCTGGTTAGACATGTCATGAATCCTACCAAATATAGCAGTTCTAGATACCACAACAGTTTTGTTTTTAAGAACGGTGGTACCCTGCAGTTCTGTATAGTTTAATGACATCAAGAAAAGGATTTATTTTTATAATCTGAGTATTTGCTTGTAAAGGTCAAAAAATGAGAACGAATAAGATGGAGGAGGAATGATTAAAATATTGAGCATCTTATATATTATCGGAATGCTATTTTGCGAGAGGAATAAACATGATGAGATAAAATATTGTTAGTGAAAATTTTCAAAAAACAAATCATGATGAATATCATGTGCTATTTTTGCTATTTTTTGAATAACAAAAAATAGGAAAGTTAGCGACAAAATAAATGATTAGTGCAAATCGGCATTTACAAGTTACGAGATCTAGAAATTCATTAAACAATACAGCCTACAACAGCTTACACTTCTTTAGCACTCACTATTATTTGCATATTCATCTAAAATAAAACAGATCACATGAGATAAACTTAGTACCGCACAAGTGAAAGTTGCATATCCGAACACAACATACCACTATAGCATTTACAAACAGTTTAAGAAAGAACTAATATTTCAACCGGAAGCTTTTTGTGCTTATAAAACAATTAAAAAAACCAGCAATCTAAATCTCTACATCACATTAAGTAATTCCCTACTACTTTATCCTTAACTTTACATTGGCGAGAATTTACTGATTCTCACCGTGCTAACCAGATACGAAGATCCTGCAAACTGTTTCAACTATAACATATGCAACATTAGATAATCAACTTCTAATTCCAACAAGACCAAATTTGGTCAGTGGTGTTTGATAATGGGTAAAACATGAATTGCATAATGCAAGAATAAATTATCTTACTGCAGAAGCATGCTAAACAAAAAAAAATTGGTAATATAAGTAAAAGAAACAAGAGTGATTAATAAGACCGCCACTAACAATATTGAAGGTCAATTCCTGCATAAAGAAATTGTAAAACTCAGGACTATCTTTACAGTTTTTTATATTATATAGCTAAAAGCATATTCAAAATTTAAGCCAATTTTAATACATATTTCGGCTTCAAAATGCCACCTTTCTGATAGAAAGGACACATTTTACTTTTGAACTAACTAAATTACATTTTCTGATACTTGTTACCTTCAATCTTTCGGCGGCACAAAAAGAGACTTTCTACAGAAACATCAAGATACCATTGTTTTATCCAGTAATGAAGCTGTGCAGTAATTTGACAGGAACTGCTTATCAGCCTCCTTCAAGTCATCACATTCTTCGCTAGTAAACTGGGCTTTCAAAGAAAATGCTTCGGATGATGCATTCTGCAAAAAAAATTACTCTTTACATATTTTAAAATTACAATACCGGTAGCACCTTAGAAGCAAAATATGTAATGCTAAACAAACCTCTTGCGCATAATCAGCAAGTTGCATACGAAATCCAAAATTCGGATTAGCACAAGGTCGCTTGCTAACGATGTATGCTAAAGCAGCAGCATAACCCAAATCACAAGCCACAATAAGATAGGAAGCTACAATACATACACTCCGACTTACTCCAGCAATGCAATGTACCAACACTGATTCTAAATACAATCGACAGCTATTTTTCAGTCTCATAATGCTATATATATAAGAGTAGAAAAAAACTTACCAAAAATTTTGAGATAATTAAATTTTAATAAGGGAGTTTTTCCATTTATTTCTAAATTTCGGTATAAGGTACTTGAAGTGGTATTAGTTCTTACTAATTAATCAAAAAAATCATTCACTTTTAGAAAGACGAGCACGATGAATAAAAGCCGCAGTCTCAGCAAAATGTTCACGAATATTTGCTTCAGATGCATCAGCTACACGTATATGCAGCACATCACGATCTTTCAAAACATTGTTAGCACACCCACTCAACTCATGTATTGATACCACGTGTGAAATCTGACCATAAAAACTTATTTTATGCTCATAGTACTAATACCGATTAGTGACAGCACACAGAGTATACACGCAAGATTAACAAAGGCTCATGAATTGAGAAACTGTAATTGAAATCTCTTTTTTCCACTAGATTACTGATTATGTTAAGATGCACCATACTAATCATTATTAAGTGACTGTTTCAAAAAATAACACTTGAAGAATTATGAAGCAGTAAGCAAAATAATGATTCAGGAAAATTTACACAAAGTGAATGATTCAAATCTTATAACAACTAATTTGTGCTCACTCTAGCAGATGCAAATTTTCTTTCTTATACGAAGCTTTTACATTCCCTTTTAGAAAGACATATGTCCCGCAATTCTCTAAAATATATTAACTAATTTTTTAGAATCTATAAAAACAATAGCAAAAATAATATATAATAGTCCCAAGTACTTTAAATGTACTGTTATAAGAGAGTGTCTTCATTTACTTTATTTTTTACTTCAACAAGTAAAATAAAAAATATGAATAAACAATTACGATTTTTTTAAACGTTACATATTTAAACGAATATGATGATAATTACTTATGAGTATACATTAATGAACTAAAAAGCCATTACTTATGAATAAGCATTTAATGCAAACAAAACTTTAAAATAATTGAAAAAAAGTGTTCTGAAAAGAGAATAATCAGAATAAAAAACTGATGATGAACCTCATTCGCATCAAGTTGCTCCACATCATTTGCATCACGTAAACTACCTAAATACAAATATGGAAGAATTTTGCTCATTCCATACGACTCTCGAAAACTTCCTCCTTGCAGAGATGCCATCCAAAGCTTTCTACTGCTGCGTACTTCATCTTGCGTCGAATTCATCCAACAACTAAAATATTTAAAATTCAAAACAGAAATTATAACAGACGTTAATTATCACCCCATACTCCTAACAACCATCAAGTTATTCAGTCAAATTTAGCATCTCGCATTCAAAACAACACATCGCTACTCAATTACATATGCTCAAAAGCATGTTTAAATCTCTTTCATTACTTGATGGCATTTCATTATTATTATTATTTAATGAATAGTTACCTGAATTAGTCATTTGTGCTCTGTGGCCTTAGAAAAATTTTTGTGTATTAAATAAGTATTACTGTTATTATGCTAGTGATAATGTATGGGAACAAAACTTAGCAAACTTTATAGATATATAGGACTTTGTTTCACTTTTCTTAGTTTTCCTCGACAGAACAAATATACGTCTTTAATTTCCTCACAGTAATGATTTTAGCTTTCATGAAGTTGAGCAGGAGAAATGAACCAGTTGAAATGAGTTATGTATGAGACAACACACTACACATACTATGTATAAACACAAATCGCGCAGTGCATAAGCTATTCCTCACTTTTATCATTGCATGTAGCATCAGCAAGTTAAAGACAAAAAACAAATAAAAAACATAGATCAGTAGTGATGTAAGAATGAAAGTAATGCACTGAAACTATCAGAAACAATGCTCTGAATTTACTTGAGTAGAGTAGAAAAAAGAATATTAATTCATCAGAATCATTTGCATTTGCAGTAATACTTGAGGTTTAAATTTGGGAATAAGTTGACATATTTAAGCAACAGTATGTAAATGTCCTGAAAGTTGCACATTAGATGCTTATCTGAGCAAGAATTCAGGCATGCGACACATTTTTGCTGAGATCATTTCGCTTATATCAACAACGATACCGCGATAACGAACCTAAAATACTGATATCTATGGAAATTATAGTCTGAAATTGTAAGTAATATTTTGGTTTGATATTAGAAATGCAGCTGCTGCTCAATCGAATTATTGCGAAAAAAATAAATTTGATGATTGAAATGAAGAATGTTTTTATATTACTTTGAAACAACCAAATGTTTTTTAAATATTTTATTAAATAATTCATTTCTACTTCTAAGATCCACTTGTACAAAAAATTTTGAGTAAAAATGATTATGAACTAACTGACTTCCATGAAAACTGAATCTGGTGAATCTTCGCAATCCAATCTAGTAGCTACCAAGTCTCCTTGCTTGACATGTCGGGAGCCAAGTAGTTGATCCCGATAGCGTACATTGTATAATACAACTTCGTAGTCTGTATATTTTCTTCTTGAAATTAAAATTAAACAATCTAAGAAATGCTATGAAATGAAATATAGCTCCTCACCAGTCCAGTCACCGGTCCCGACAAGTACTACACCATTGTTATCACAACCTGTGTAAACACCTTGAATGGCGTACAAGCGAGTTCGACCGATTATTTTCGCATCAATTGGAGAGTAGATATCTGGAACTCGTAATTCCTAAAAGAGAACATGGTGGAAATTTTGAGAACAAATATAAACAACAGATGAAGAAGTTTATGAACAACTGTGCAGTTAAATTTGATTTATCTTTTCATATACGTAGAAATGTACTTTAAGATTATTTTAAAATTTTGTGCTTGAAGTACTATATTTGATGTTCACTTCTTAATACCTATTAATTTTTAATTCCTGACAAAATACTACAACTACTAAAAAATTTCAGAACAATATATTCTGAAGTTAATGTAAAAATTTCTCACTTCTTCATCATTACTTTCAATTTTAGGGCATTTAATGTCCCAGCCGCGCACTGCGTTATATCGGCTGAAAGGGTTGTTGTCAGTGTTAAACACAGTACTTGGCATAATTAGAAGATTCATTCTTTCTACAATTGTTTTGTCTGGAAATTTGTAGGAATAAAAATGTTGCAATAAATTATCTTAAACTCAAATATTGTGAAAAAGCAAACCTATCGTGCTTGAATGGTTGTCCTAGTAGCTCATTTTTGGGATTTGATTCACAAATTTGTCCAGTACACATACCTTAAAATCTTTGACTATTTTTTCTTTCATTTACTGGTAACTATTTCATATTCATTTCATTTTTCATTGAAAAGCGTTTGCTTTCGAGAAGATTTCTATTACATTTGATTGAATGACATAAAGATATATGCACAGCTTCTCAAGGATATTTCAAACTTTTCACTGCATAGAAGACGAAATATAACCAAAAATGATACGAACTTTTAGCAAATAATTTGCAGTAATTTTTAAAATAGATAAATGCTATAGTATACATTTTATAATATAATTTAAGCAGTAAGCATACAGTTTCGAAGATGGAAAGTAGGGTCTATAGGTCGTCCTTGTTTAAACAGTTGTAATCTAATATATGGATCACCCTCATCATCAATGTATATGCAGCGATAATCTCTTGCAGTCCCAATACGCTCACCTTTTCTCACGCGTCCACCAAATATGTCAAGCGATATTGAAGCGATAAGCACGTAGTAGCCTTAATTAAATTCCTTCTTTTATTTTGTAACTGCGATTGAAAAAAGCTGCATATCAAAATTAGTAATTTGATGCTTGCATTATGCAGTCAAATGTTTATCGTAACTGTCTCTAAATACATATTTACTGCAATCAATCAAAAACAAGAAAAATTGAATTCACAGCAACTCCATACTCCGTTCGAGCAACTCTGCGTTTTATGTCAAGTTGTTGTATTAGAATGCAGTTAGTATTGCGTAGTTATAATCGAATGGTAGTTTGAATTATATGATTTACCTGCGCATTTATGTTTTGTAATGTAATTCTTAATCTAAACTATCTTTGGGAATATAATTAGCAGAATAAAAAACTTATAGTTTTATGTTTTGTTTGAAAACATTATTGAATAATGAGGTTGAATTTTTAAAACAATGAAAAGCTATTAAAAAATTACTTTAATTTGAATGAAAAAAAGTGATAAATGATAATTTGATGATTTACCGATTGCATTTTTTTCTACTTTCAAGTCTTCCATTCCCACTTAAAGTTTTTGTCATATTAAATTTTAGAGTGAGCAAAACTTATTTACCTTGCCACTGACCAACTCCTTCAATTCGTGCTCCCTCATTAGCACATTCATAGTTTTCATGATTACCAAATGGTCTCCAGAAATACAAGTCACCATCAAATGGTGCATAAACTTCATTTTGAGCCGAACACTTTACATCAACGCCTTCCAAAAGTTGTCCATCTCGTCTAAACGTTTCACTTTTTAACTGCTATTTTCTTTAATAATTTCTATGCTTACTTTTGATGAAATATTATTAACCACAAAAAGACACAATTTATGTCCTTGAATTTATTATAATATAATCGTAATGACTGAAACTTCACCAGTTATTTCTTACTGTAAATGTAGCACACATTTATTCATTCATTCATTCATTGGTAAGTTTGTTTGAATACGCAACTTCATCATACCTTTTACTCCTGAAATCGCCACAAAACTCGCCATTACACCCAATCAATTCATTTTTTCTGTTGCCCTGACAAATTTTTCCCATACATCCTAGACTGTAAACTGAAACAACAAAGCGAATAATCACAAACATATTGCTGATTTCAAATGAAAATTTGCTGAATTACAATCGAGTGTTTATTACCTTCAATTATTGCGGATTAATTTGTTGATAATCAACTATTTTTCAATTAATTATTTGTCAATTAATTAGCTAATACTCGGTATTAGATTTCAGCCATAATTATTTTCAATTCAAAATCAGTATGCTTAAATTTAAAAGGTTTTAAGCAAAGACTTATCAAAATTGAGGCAATTTTCAGTAAATGAGTGATAACGTGCTTACATTTTGACTCGCTATATAATGAATTTACTTTTTCTTCGGGTATCATTATTTGAAACAGATGTACTCAACCACGTATTATTTGAGGTAAATATCAAAACGCAAAAGTCTATTTTTTAAATTAATAATTTTTTCGGTGATTTCTATCATGTTCGATTAGGATCGTACATTATTTACAATAGAAAGACACATATATGTTTTGGTAAGAAAACAAATACTATAATTAATTTAGCTTTGGAATCTAACCTTGAGTAAAAAGTAAGAGTAGAACAAGCCAAGATAGCTGCATAGAAGACGCAATGGTCATCATAGTGAAAAGGCAAGAAGACCGATGCTCGTTTTCTTTAGTCTTTTATCAGTAATAATACACTGACTTTGCTGTTTGGTAAGTTATCAGAATATATCAATGATGCTCACTCTGCTCTACTATCACTGTACTGATAAGCACTTTTATGTACCAATGAAGATTTTATTACATTTACAGCATATGCGTACACTTTTTCTGGCATATATATATACATATATATAAACTTTGACTTTTATAAAAAACATATTGAGCATTAATTCTTCTTTTAATAATGATTACTTTTTTTTCCAAAGAGAATATTTGTCACTTTTATTTTTATAAAAATGTGATCCTCATGGTCATGAAGCCATAACAAATGCAAATGTCATGAATACAAACATTCAGACTCTCAAGTACACAAAATGTTAAAATTTTGCCACTAACATTCTGCCATTTCAGTATAAACACAAAAGGATCTCAGAAAATTGTATTTTCTCTCTGTCAATTTTTATCTTAATTATTCAGTTTGAAGAAGATTTCGTTAGACTTCATGTTAGCACAGTTTGAAATATTCTTCACGACAGTATCCAGCTACAACAAATATTTTCCTATTCAGCATTTTTGTTGAGTGCTATAATATCCAGTTTTATAATGCATTACTATTATGTGGTACAGTGTCAATGCGATTGCAACAATCTAGATGTAAACATTAAAAGCTTGTGATCTGAAGTTTTTTTTTTTTTTTTTT